GGGGTATTGAGTGGAAGGGTTCACCCAAGGAGAAAACATATTTTTCCATAGTCTGGCTATTAACAGGTGCTCCTGCCCTCTCATCGTCATCATGTCCTTCCTCTGGACTTGCTTCAACAGGTCCATATCTTTTCAGTGCTGGGGGTCCAGATCTGGGCACAGCACTGTAGGTGGGGTCTCACAAGACCAGAGGGGCAGAATCCCCTCCTTCAACCTATTGGCCACAATTCATTAGAAGCTTTCATATCTCTTTAATTGAAAGGTTATTGAGGGTAGATTCCTAATCCTAAATATGTGGCTTACTTAAGTAATTTTCACTCAGGGAAAAGTTGTAAGGCCAGAAATTACTCTATTGTGTATTTTCCTGATGTGTGAGGGTAGAAGGGGAAGACAGGCTGTGGCAGCTCTGAGCATATCGTATCACCTCCTGCAGTTCTGAAGAGGTGGTTTCATACCAGATGTCTGGGAATGTTAGTAGCTGGACCCATACAATGGCTATTGATCTGCTGCTGCACAATCTTCTTCCAGAAATTTGAAGACTTTGGTGTCATTTTTACATCATAATTGGATGACACTGCATTAGGTTTGAAATATCAAGATGTTAACATTTAAGATGAATCAATATGTGCCTTGATGTTTTGTGTTTGTGGAAGTCTTCTGAAAGTAGGAAATTTATATCTCACTAATAAATATACAAACTGGGGAAACATCTACCAGTAAGCATCTTTAGCCCCTCTATCTCCAAGAAAAGGAAAATAAATGCAATTTTGTTGAAGAAAAGGCCTTCTAAAGTTATTTCATTTACGGTAATTTTGTTTGCTGATTTAGGTGCTGTGTGCCTTCACGTAGCTACTATTATGTTCTCTGGTTTGTTAATTGCTGAGGCTTCTAGAACAGATATCCATGCATTAGTGCTGTGTGTTATCACCCCCTTATCTCGAATGGCTGATAACTCTTGGCACCTTGTTGTGTACAGCCTCCCCCAAACACATATCTTTGGTATTTAGCTATCAAATAAACCCAGCAAACTCCCTCCCCTTTTCTTCTCATACTTTCCCTTTCATGCAGTGAGGAAGGTGGGGCTTGGATAAACCACTTGCTCCTCAGCAGGTGTCTCCTTAAATTTTGCAGAGGTAGTTTGTGAATCACAGCTGTTGCCTCTGACAGTGAAGTGATAATCCATCTCTGACTTGTATGCAGCTGTGAGCAGGATGGGCTCATACTGGAGTGCTCGTGAGGTAAGGATGTGAAAACTCTAGGAGCTGAAGATGGCCTGGGATGGGATTGTGGCTGGGGTTCTGGTGGGGAGAAGATGACTTGTGAGCTTTTATTCTAATTTCTTATATATATTTACTTATTTATGTAAGAATGACTTATACCTTTGCTGGTGTTAGTTGCCTTGTGGAGGCACTCTTGCTAGTGAAGTTCACCCACAGTGAGTGATTCTCATGGAGGCTGGGAACCATTCTGAAGTGCCTCACAGTAGCTTTCTGTGAATTTGGGATAAATCTGTGGCTTGACTCAAGCATTATGTCAGTTGTGCTCTTTCACAGTGCAGCATCTGCCAGCTGGGACTATAAACATATATGGTGTCCAGGTAGCTGTGCTAGAAGCCACCTGGTAGTGATGCACACGGAGGGGGGGTCACTGCCTAAAAACAGTGATTAATAGTGATGGTCTTAGTTTTATATTTGTCCATGACTGATGCACAAAAAAAATCTTGATC